CCCCCCATCCTCCTTCCCTTCCACCGCCTTCAAAAGTCATTTGACTCTTTTTAAATCTGCTTCTTTGATTATAATAAGGCTGAGCATCCACTAATGGATCTGACAGACTCCTCCATCCACACTAAACACTGCCAGCATTTCAGTAACTGATTGGATGCAAATACCGCTTCGGCTGGAAAATTTCAGGCGGGCTCTTTGGACAAGTCAATTGAAAAGTCAAGTTTTTTGGAGCCAACAGGACCACACGTGGCTCTAATTTAGCTGGTTCATCGGGGAAGATCAATCCATGAATGGCCAGTTTAATACTTGGTGATCCCACCATGAAAGTCCCTGCACTCACTGGGTGACAACACTCTCGCCCTGTATCCCAATTGTGCTTCTGTGTTGTCACCTGCTACAAGGGGCTTCTGATGGAGGCTAAAGACAAATAGGCTGTTGACAGTGCAAGAGACTTTTCCCTTAGGTTAGTAAATTCAACTTTTTTGTTTTCCTTGCACATGATTGGGTTTTCTTTGTGAAGTAAATCTTTACCTCAATCGTTCACTCTGCTAAGTGAACATTCCCATGCAGAGTGAACAGCCTATCTGCCATTAGTAAATCAACCCCTATAAAGGTGGCCATACACTGTACAACCATTGCAAGACTTTAGTCTTGCGATGGTTGTACAGGGATGAAAAAAACGTACGATCTGCCTATCTTGGACAGGCAGATCGCACTCTCGATCATCGCAAGCCCGCCCCCCTGAGGGGCGGGCTTCCGATGACCGCAATGCTGAACGGGCAGTGTGCGCGTGCGCACACCAGCCCGTTCAGCATTTGTCTTCCGAGCACCGTTCTAACCAGCCGAGAATCGTACGATTCCCGGCTGGTTTTCGAACATGCTGGTTCGACAGAAGACGTGCGACCGTACAGTAGAAACGGTCGCACGTCTCCGTTCACACTGCTCGATTATCGTACGAAAAACCGATCGCATACGATTATCGTACGATAATCGTGGAGTGTATGGGCACCTTTAGTGTCCGATTCAATACACATTACACAGGTGTGGTCCACTGTTCTCACCATGCAGCCATCATTACAGTGCATGCATGTCATCAAAAAGTGGCTACAAATAGTAAAGAGGAGATCAGCAGCACTGAGATGCAAGAAAAGAAGTGATTTGGGCAACTATCATTCAGCTAGAGCTGGGGTGGGGAACCTCGGCATTCCAACTGCGGTGAACTACAAATCCCATAATACCTTTACCTCAGGAAGTCACTCCTGTGGCTGTCAGCCATGCAGTGCCTCATGGGACTTGTAGTTCCACAACAGTTGAGAAGAGCTGAGGTTTCCTACCCCCTGAGTTAGAGATTACATCTAATGTAACAGTACTACAGATACAGTATGTCAAATAAAAAGTAACAAAAAAGTGGCACAACCCCCCCAGTCCCCCGCCACCTCTCTATAATGCTTGGAGTGTAGGAATCTCAGGACTAGGGTCCCTGAGGATAATAGGGAGCTGGTCACAAACATCCACCCAAAACTGAAGCTGGCCATGCACTATACCGGGGGTAGGCAAAGTCGGCATTCCAGCTGTGGTGAAACCACGAATCTCATTATGCCTCTGCCTTTGAGAGTCATGCCTTTAGCTGCCAGAGTCTTGCAATGCCTCATGGGACTTGTAGTTCCACAACAGCTGGAATGCCGAGGTTCCCTTCCTCTGTACTAAACAATCAGATTGTACAATCCCCTTTAGATTTAACTATACCGTGTGACACACCTAAAGAATCCGTTCAATCCAATCAGAGAATCACTTGCACTACATAGCTGATGGCCGATCTAAAGGGGATTGTACAGTCAGATTGTACAATGTGTGGCCAGCTTTAAATATCTGTCCCGTGGAGAATTTTCTTAGACCCCATTCATACATGACTTTGAAAGCACTTTTTTCTCGTTTTTCAGGTACTTTCAGGTTTCAGCCAATGGAAAGCTAGTTACTAGGAGGAGACGGTTGCTATGGGCAAAATCATGCAAAATAAATGCACGTTACATGCTTTTTTAAGGTGCTTCCTATGAAGTCTGTGGGGGCAAAAACGTGCAAAACTGCCTGGAAAAAAAGGGGACATATTTGTTCGAGCGACAAGCGACACAACGCTCAGGTGTGAACAGGCAACAATGAAAAGAATTGGATTCTTATGTTGAGCGTTGTCGTGATTCGGGAACGCTCAGCTGTGAACTGGACACAATAAAAAAGAATTGGATTCTTATGTTGAGCGTTGTCGCGATTTGGGAACGCTCAGGTGTGAATACTCTGCTATACCCAGCACTGGCATTCTATTGGCACTGATGCCAATAAAAAGTGTAATCGAGATATTAATGCCTCGATCATGATCAGCCTTCCATACTGGATTTAGGAAGTAATTTTGACCAATAGGAACCCTGCTCCCTACAGTACTGCCTGCTGCCTAAGTTTGATGAGCTCCATCCTAGAAGTACTGAACATAGCGCACACACATACTGAGCGAAGTCACTTCTACAGAGGGAATCCCGAGCGATCGTCTGACAGCTCAGTGACAATAATAAACCACAATACAGAAATCGGGTCTGAGCTCCGTTCCTAGATCGCTGCTACTCACATCCAGTATGACAGAGATGCCCCTCCTGGTGCCCGGGTTGGGCATGTCCTGCACCCCTGTGAGCGCCTCCTCTCCCCGTAGCTCTCGCTCGCTCTTGTCGCTCATCTTGGTGACGATCCAGCGGAACAGACCGTCCAGTGCCCGGCTCTGAGAGTGCTGCTGCTGCAGGAGCTTGTGGACGCTGGACCTGCAGTACCGGGCTGCCTGTTCACACATGTCTGAGACTGGGAGGGGGAGAGCAGCCCGCCCCCTGCATGAAAGCACGCCCAGCCAGCTCCTCGACACACCCCCGGCACGCCCCATGCAGTAGCGCTGCCCAACCGAGCCCTAGCCGCTGCGTGAAGCAGCCACGCCTTCATTTATGCAAACCGCGCCCATGCAGGTCCCGGGAGACCGAGCTTCGCGGCGAGAGCGCGCATTTGGCTAGTTAACCTAGCAGAGTTAGGTGCGCTTCGAAGCGTTGTGAGAGGAGCGGGCTGGAAATGAGAGCTGGCAATAGAATGGTCGCAGATGTGAGGAGCCACTGGCATCAAGTGTGTGAGTTTCCGCTCCCTGCCTATGGCACCAAATATATCTCTACTCTCAGCTGCATTGTCTTAACTACAGGAGAGTAATAGAAATGATAGAGAATCGTAGGGCAAAGTTCAATGATATATACAGTATATGCATTACATCTTTACAGTAAATGCACATTACCTCATGTTTTATCCATTTCCAGTGGATGGGAGCTGGCCCTTTAAACATTCCTATCATTGGAGAGGTTACATAGGCTTCTTGGTCATGTGATTGGCTCTCATAATGATCACATGATTGGAATCCCCACCAGCTCACAACTGTAAACAATGACCAGGAGCTGTCAGTGTTTCAGCTGGGAGCGCACTCATGTGAAACCCCCAGCACACACAAGGGGCATCGGATGTACACATATATGTGGAGGCGTTAATGCTCAGGGCTGTGCTACCACATATATGTGTATGGTGGGCTAAGGGGTTGCAGTGGACCTTCACTCACAATTAAAGGGTATCTATGGTCAAAAACTAAAAACAATTCCTTATTGAATTTCAATCCTAAGTTCTATCTCACTCCTAATCAGAGCCGTAGCTCGCTTCTTTTGCGCTCCAGGCAAGAACAGAAAATTGTGCCCCCCACCTTACCCTCAGGAGTGTCACCCTGATCTTACGGCCAGCAGGACAGTCCCCCTTAATTATTCTGGGTTTAGATTGTTGTGGAATCTTCAGATGTACCATGTGACAGTTGGCGTGGATGGGGAGGGGATCCATGCAGTACATGTAAGGAGGGGACCATGCAACTAAGGGGGGGGGGAATCATTCAGCACAAGTTGGGGCCAAGCAGTACATGTTGGGAGAACACGCAGCACAGGTTGGGGGGGAATCATACAGTACAGGTCCCAACCATCTGAAATTAGAAATTCAGACACCGTCCAGGACAGACTTTTTAGGCAATGGCCAAGCCCGCAGTTATGTAGAACTTCAAGAATTTATGTGCCAGAAATCATTATTGGGGGCTCATCGATGAGTGACAGAGACAAGTGTCAACATCACATTACAAATGGCATGTGAGCACGTGGGGATCTGTATAGGAGCCGCCCACAGCCATGCCTCCCGGGGTTTCTGCATATGGGTAGAGGCGGGTTGGCTGGGAATGGCCATAATCATTGGACCAATGGAGGGATGGCGGATAGTGTGGAGTGTTTGCTGGTCACAGAGAAGGAGGGGAGCTCTGTGTTTATAATAGCGCTACTAAACAGGCTGCTTTTTAGTGGAGGCCCTGGCTGCTCTCCACTCGCCTCACCCTTCCTACGGCCCTGCTCCTAATATCTTTATTGATGTTTGGAGTTTGTAAACTAACCTATTGAAGATGCCCATAGGATGTAGTTCCTCAATGCACTGACACAATTTCACTCAGCCCTGTGAACAGGGCCGCCGTCAGGGGGGTACGGCCGACACTCAAGTAAGGGGCCCGGCCAGCCTCAGGGGCCCGCGAACCTTACCTGGGTGATGGCCGTACAGGTGACTAAAGGCGGCCGGGCCCCCGCAGCACCGGAGGAAGCCGGGGCCTGCACACTCCACATCGTAACCTCGGGTGCTGTGCGAGCCTCTGGTGTCCCCCCTGTGTCCACTGCACATTAGGTTTTTAAAGATGGCTGCCGCGAGTAGCGCCCACATCCCATTTAATATATTGCCGAAACGGCAATATATTAAATGAAAATCATTCCCTGGTGGGGAATCAGTATGATCTGCATCTCTTGCTGATGCAGACCATACTGATCGCTCCCTTGTGGTGCCTCTGCTAACATGCAGGGAGCGATTAGTATGTCTGCACCAGACAGAGTGCAGAGCACACTGATTCTTCACTGAAGCCCAGGGATGCAGCCCCCCTTCCTGCAAAACAGGTAAGCAGGAAAGGGGGACATTTTTAATTAACTATTATTAGTTGTGAGAGTGTTTTTTAATGAGTGTGTGTAATTTCTTTTTTTAATGAAGCTATGTGTGTATTTTTTAATGAGTGTGTGTGATATGTCTGTTTTATTACGTGTGTTTGTTTTTTTTTAACCATGATTGCTGTTTAAATACAAGCGATCCGGCGTCTGTATAGCGTTTCTGTCCCCCTCCGGCGTCTGTATCCCCCTCTGCAGCTGCCGGTGCTGCCGTCAGCTTCCCGGGCTCATCTGTCCCTCGTGTGAGCCCGGGACCGATGTGGAGGTTCTCCCCTGACAGATCGGAGGAGAGATCAGCAGCTTCTAGCCACGGATCTCGCCTCCGATCACTGGACATCGGACGTGAGGTGCATTTCACCACTTCTGGTGTCACTGGGCACATTCTCAGGCTCCTGGAGCCAGAAGAAGAAGCTGGGGAAGCAGATCTCGGCTTCATCAGCTTCTTTGGGGTCCCTAGGTGACACTAGGGGTCTGCAAGACCCCTGATGTCTCCATAAAGAGGACCTGTCACATTATATTTGCTATTACATAGGGGACTTGTTAGCCCCCTATGTGATAGCAATAAAGCTGAGTGTGAAAAAAATTGTAAAAATTATAGTAACAAAAAAAAAAATGTTTAACCACTTGAAGTCCGCGGTGTTACACCCCCTTCCTGTCCCGGCCATTTTCCAGTATTTAGCGCTGCAGTACTTTGAATGACATTTATTCGGTCATGCAACGCTGTACTGAAACTAATTTCATACCATTTTTTGGGGGACTCATAGAGCTTTCGTTTGGTGGTGTTTAATATTTAATATATTAACCACTTGAAGTCCGGGGTGTTAAACCCCCTTTCCATCCAGGCCATTTTTCAGTATTCAGCGCTGCGGTACTTTCACTGACATTTATTCTGTCATGCAGCGCTGTACTGAAATGAATTTTATACAATTTTTTGGGGACAGATAGAGCTTTCTTTTGGTGGTATTTAATCACCACTGGGGGTTTTATTTTTTAATATATTAAGGAAAAATTACAGAAATGAAAAAAAAAACTGTTTCCCCTATATTAAATTCTAAAACATTTATTATTATCCAATTTTTTGGTAAAATATAAAAGACCGGGTCACGTCGGATAAAGAGACACCAAACATGTCAAGGCTTAAAATTGCATCATTTATTATTACCCAATTTTTTGGTAAAATATAAAAGGCGGGGTCACGTCGGGTAAATAGGCAGCAAACATGTTCAGCCTTAAAATTGCGTGTGCGCGCGAAACCTCAAAAAACTACAATATCAAAAATTTTAGAGTGTAAGCTCCTCTGTACAACGACTGATGTGACTGTGGGAGGACATTAGAGTGTAAGCTCCTCTTTGCAGAGACTAATGTGACTGGCTCAGTGTGGCAGCGGTGGGGGGGGTGGGGGGGTGGCCCAGGCCTAAAGCTGTGTAAGGGGCCCCGAAATTTCTGATGGCTGCCCTGTCTGTGAATATGCTCTTCCTTGTGTCACAATTCTAAATAAGCCTGCCTTCTGAACTATATAACAATGTAACATTATTATTGCTTGCTGGAAGCAATGCATTATGGACTATATAGCCTTGAGAAATGGAGATTGCATTACATCAGGCAGCAGGGAAAGATATACAAAGCACACTGGGAATCCAGGAAGTTGATGAAAGTGATGGGCAGACGGAAGGCAGCACTCACTAAATAAAAGGGAAAAGGGATATTTTAATGTAAGCTTTCATTGCATTATCAATAACAACTCTAGTATGTATTCCTATTACTAGGGCTGCAACTAATGAATATTTTCATAATCGATTAGTTGGCCATTTGTTCAATTATCCTGATAAAAAACAATAAATAAATACAATAAAATACACAAATGCCGTGTTACAAACATAAAGTTTACTTCAGAATAAAACTGCATGCGTAATTTTTCTCAATCACACTGCACTGAAACATGCAGCATCGCAGTACTTGGCGTTCCAGTGCGGGCAATCACACTGTGGATGGGAGGCGCGTTTGGGGCGCCATTGAAATGAATGGCACTGCAATGCACCTCCTGCCGCAGAATTTGTCAGGCTGAAACCGAAATTGACTTTTTTCCCACCTTTTATAATTTTCTTTTTTAATAATTGTATGGTAAGCACATGGTGCTTGAATAGCGTCAGCCTGGGAATGACAGCTGCAAGTGGCAAGATTCCACAGACGGCAGCTGAACGTAAATACAGCAGGTAGTGGGCTGGTGCAATAGCCAGCCTGCTATTGGCCATTTCAAATTGTACTAGCCAATAGCAGGCTGGCTATTGCACTTGCCCACTGCTTTCTGTGGCCTCCTCCCAGCATGGAGGAGAGAGCTAGGGGATCCAACCAACTAATCGATAATGAGAATAGTTAACAACTATTTTTTATTATCGATTAGTTGGTTGCAGCCCTAACGATTACAATGCTGATGTCATAACAGGATAGTATATGCTGTGACTTTAGAACACCTTTACGACATCACATCATTCTAATCCTCCTTATAACACATTTGGATTTTTTTTTTTCAGTTGCAAGTACAATTTTCAGCAAGCCTTTGCTTACCCTTCCTCCTTCCTGACAGAACCCTGCTCCATCCCCAGGTTGCTGTTTACCTTCTACCCATGGTGCCTTGGAAAGGGTGATAATGCAGATAAGCCCATTCGACACCTGACCGGTATACCCCTTTTTGTGGGGTGCAGCAGTAACTTGTGGATTGGCACTGCATTCAGTCCAAGCAAGAAATATGTCACCAGCACGCCTCAGCGAATCTTCATCCAATAATGCCTATATTG